TTTTCATTTCGTCACAGACCAGGCAAAGTGTCATCAAGGCTTAGCGCAAGCCCTCCTGAGCTTCCACGCCTCTGGCCACCACTGATGACTTCACGAGGCATGAGCTGAGCTCTCCTCTTGCACGTGGCTTGGCCGTGCCTGAGATGCTCCGCGCACACAGCCAGCACCAAGAGTCTGCCCAGGTGTCGGTAGGCTGTAGCTGACAAGAACTGTATGTCATAAACCTTGCAGAAGGTCCCGAACAAGCCACAATGTCCTTCCCACAGAGAAGAGACCTCAGCTTTTAGGTGGCTTGATAATTTTTCAGTCTTGCTACGTGAGAACTTTCGCAGCAACCTCTGTGGCCAACGGCATGCATAAACCTGATACCCGTCCTTCTCCCTTCTCCCTGTGCCATCAGGAAGCCGTTCCCAAGGCGTCCTACCCTCCCTTGTATGAAATACATTCTGGAGGTGGGGGTGGGTGGGGTAGGAACAAAGCTTGGATGAGATCGCCGCCAGGTTTCAGGCCCACAGAAGCCTTTCTCAAAGGGCAGGCTCAGGTTCCTGGAGGCATTCATTGTCCTAAGTGCTGGGGAGATAGCAGGGTACAAGACAGACAAGCCCTTGTTCTTGTAGAATTGACACACTGGTTAGGTAAGAAAGACAAGTGACCTAATTTTACTTAGTGACAAACGCTGTGAGGATGTAAGATAGCGTAGTGCGATGATAATGGCACTTGCAGTAAAAGAGCCTGTAGGGGCGCATCCAGCAGCAGATGCAGAACTGCTTGGCCTCTCTCCACGCTCTTAGAGAGGAGAAGCTAGCCAGGTTACTGCGGGTTGCCCCGTGAGCCTGAGGGTGAGCAAGAGCTGGAAGCCGAACCGCAGCTGTCAGGCTGTCTGGCACCCTGCTGCGCTGCCGTAGCTCGCAGACCGCCACCGCCCCTGTTCAGCCGGACCAGCAAGCCAGAACATCCCCCTTTAGGCACAGTTTGTCATCAGATGCTTGAGATTCAGCTGTTTAAGCCTCATTCTGTTCCTCACGAAAATGCAGCCCTGTGGTAGCGCCTCTTCCCACTTGAAAGGGAAGAACTCCAGAACACCAGGAAAATACCAGGCACATATATGCCCCCAATAAGGCAACTGTCCAGGCTGCCTGCCTCGATTTCCCCTACAGAGGTGAGATAAAAATCACAGCCTTCTTGTGTTGCCTGGAGACCTAAAAGACCAGCATGGCAGCACTGGCACAGGAAGCTCTAGAGGAGCAGTGACAGGTGTGACCATCTCGACACCAGCACGCCGGCTCCACCGTGGCCAGTGCGGGCCTCGTTCTAGAATGCACACAGGCACCCCAAACCGAGTGTCTCCCTCAGCAGGGCGGTGCAAGCACCACAAGGTGGGAATAGGGGAGCAGCCCTCTGGGAGGGCCAGAGGGAAACAGCCTCAGGAACTGGATTTTCACTTAGCTCTCCTACACGTGAATGGGTTGCTAGATGCGGCCAAGGTCTTTAGAAATGGGGAAGAGCTGCACTTTTTTGCATGGTGAAGGAACTAGATCATTCTAAGCCTGGCAGAGACAGTGATAGCCATCATTGCTGTTTTATTAATGCCTTTCAGCTTTTTGTGGTTAAACACACAATTCCAGGCCTAGTTGCCCTAGGCCTAGAGGCCGTATGAGGGTGGAAGCGCTGGTCATGCTCAGCTCTGCAGGCAGAGAGTATTTTGCTCAAGAGCAGGCCTCTCCAGCATGCACGTAGAGCTGCTGCACCTGGATGGACCCTGTTTCTCCTGACCACTGGTTCTCCCAAAACCTGCCAGGAAAGTGGCTTCCATGTGTGACCTGAGGCAGACATCCCGAATCTTGGAGGAAAAGCCCACCCCTGACTGACCATGGCCTGGCTAGAGTTGTATAGATGGAGAAGTTGGTCAGCCTAGGAATCTTGACATCCAAGTAGAAAATCTGTGCACGCCAACCCCAAATTCTCCCACAGCATGGATAGATGGGGTGCTTATTAGTGAAAGTATCCAAGTCAGAATGGGCCCTGAAAGACTGTGCCACAGCCAAGGATTGTAATTAATCCTACAGTGGAAGCCATTGGTCAAGTATAGGAAAGACAAGGCAAAGGCAATTCTGTGTACAAATGGAAACTAGTGACCTTTAACAAAATAAAGGGCCCTAGGACCTAGAGCATGCCGGGAGGCACCCAGGTCTCTCAGGTCCCAGTGAGCATGGGCTGGATGTAGCTTCCTTCCCTGGTTTCTCCTCCTCCCGGAGCTGATCTGCAGTCCACAGCAGGCAGTGCTCCAGCCTCGGTTATTCTCTGTGCCGCTTCGTTTATTTCTGCTGGGTTAGCATATCAATGCTTCATTGATGTAAGATGGCCCGAAGTTGGTAGCAAAGACCAGCCCTAGAATAAGCTACACCGCACTTCAGCCTCCGTGGCTCTGGCACCTGCCCCTCATCGGGGTCTCAGTGTGGCTCGAGCATGTTCAGTGACAGCCTTATCGTGGACGTGTTTGTGGGGAGTTCTCCCCTGGCACTTCACGCACAAACACTGAAGACTTGGAATCTGAGAGCGTGGAGTTCTCTCGCTCCCTGACATAACAAAGGGCGACTGTGAGCAGAAGGAACGCCACAGAGGCAATCTGCGAGGTCACGAGCCGGCGGGCCTTGGTTGCTGCCCAGCACAGGAAGCACATGGGTAGGGAACTGGTGAAGCATTGTGTCGCCTGTGTGGGGGCTGTCAGCTCCCGTGTGGGAAGTCAAAGGGCCTCACAGCCATAAGCCGCCGTGCTGAAGCATCCGCAAGAAGTCCTGGAAATGAAGGCCTAGGGCCGTGGTGAGTGCCCTCTAGGTAAATGGTAAGAAAAAGTAAGTCTTTTCTTGTCTAATGACACCGACTCTTTTACTTTTTCTAAGAAAGTATGGTTTAATATATAGTGTATACATTTAGTGCCTAAAACTATCAACTTCTGTACATTGAACTATGTAGGTCTTCAATTAATGAATGCTTTTCTGTCCTTAAAACCATACTGTAAGGGCCGGGGAGATGGCTCAGTGGAATAAGTGCTTCCCTGGCAAACACAAGGGCCTGAGTTCAATCCCCGGTTCCACCAAAATAAATAAATAAATAAATAAATAAATATTAAAAATTCTTTTAAAAAAATACTGTAATTAGGCTTGCCTGCAAAACAGACAGAAGAACCCATTGGGATGGTGGGTTCTTGATGAAGGGTTCCTGTGTTTGGCATGCCCCAAAGAGAGACTTTTAAAACAAAAGGACACATCTTCTTGGCCTGGAAGCTACACTTTAGATTGTGACCACCAGGCACTAAGACTTTAGAACTATTTTGTCGGTGTAGAAAGACAGTTTGGCACTTGAGGTCAGCATAACTTACCAACTAGTAGACAGCTAAAATCTGCAATGATACAGAGACAGAATCCTTGTGAGACGTGACCTGCTTATTTCTCTTCCACCGAAAGAAAATATGGTAAGAGAACTATTCGTATGGTAACCTGCGAGATTTGTGTTCCCAGTTAAGAGCTTGGTATTGTTCTGGTAAATGACCAGCTTATTGAGGTTCCTGATGACATTCCTACCCAGTCACACGTGTTGTCAGCTGCACCTTAATAACACAGTGCTGTTGGATGCTTCTTAGAGCAAGCTGCCTAGATCAGGAGGAGGATGCAGGAAGAGCAGGAAAGGCCCGGGCAAAGCCACCACAGCCCCATCAGGCCTCTTCACGCCCCCCGCCCCCCCAGGAGCCTCTTCACTCAGAGAGGTCGCTTGGAGGTTGAAAGTGCTGGTTGACTCTCAGGGCAGCATCCCAGGCCTAGACAGCCCTCCTGGTTCTGAGGTCAGGATGTGGAGTGTGGGCATGGGGCTCCTGCCCCTGGGCAGGGTCTTCTACAGGGTGCTGCCATAGGTAACAAATTTTCCCTGAGGCCCAACCTACGCCCTGCAGGCACCATGGAGGGAGGGAGCTCTGGCGTATGCCCACCTCGGCTTCCTTAGCCGCCTTGGGCAGCCTGCATGACAGATCTCTCTGTGCTGGACATTCGCACTCAGAGGGGCAGGCCCTTATCACTGTGCAGATGCTTTACATAGTTATAAATAGAAGGCAAATGGAAACCCTTTAAAGTATAAGATCTGGGAGTGCAGGCTAATAAGCTCATCATCAGGCCCGTAGGGACCACCGGCTTCCCAGACAGGCCGCAGACCTGTGTCCACATCTCATTGCCAGTCTCCCTAATCACATCTGCTACAGCTGTAATGTCAGGCTGTGTGTTCTTACAGAGGCAAATGGCCATCAGTGTCGAAGGGGTGTTGATGGGCCTTGTATTGCATGATGGATAATGCCAGAGAGTTATGGGGTATGTACTGCGTGGGAAGAGGAGGCCCAGGTGTTGGCCACTGGCAGACTGCAATGTGGGGGTGCTAAATTGCTGCCTTTGTAGAAATTGCCTCCTCACTGATTCTTGTGGATTCTGGTGAACCAACCACAATTCTGGCAATCCAAGATTACCCTGCAACAATATTATGAAAACATGTTACCGCTTTGTTATGGGTATTTAATTACCTTTTTAGAGACAAACTGCTTCATACTTTTTTCTAACTATAAAGTATGTGTTCACCATTAAGGAAGCTATAGGGATTACGGAACAGAAGCTATAAGAAGTAAAAATCATTTGTTAATCTACCATCTAGAGACAAATGCATTTTACATTTTGGTGTACATTATCTAGATTTTGTGTGTGTCTATATTTACGTGTGTGTGTGAGATATTGTATACACAGCTCTAATATGCTTTTAAACTTACCCTGTCATCAACATGTTTCTCTGTGGCTAAGTGTAGCCCTCCATCACTGTCACTGCATGGCTTCGATGTGCCCTGCTCAGCCAGCCTCTGGCTGGCAGGTCCTCGGGTTGCTTACTGTGGTGAATGTCTTGTGAACAGTTAGGTCAGTGTGTGTTTGCTTTGTCTGTCTTTCCTGGAGCTTTCCTCCGTTCACTTTTAGAGACAGACCTATGGTAAGATGCCACTGCCTGGCCAGAGAAGAGGGGGTCCCCGGGAGCCTCACCACGCCAAGTTCCCGCCTCTCGGTGAGTCTCCACTGCATCCCTCCACCCTGCACTGCAGTGAGCTGCGCGTGCGCCTTGCTCCTCCTGCTGCAGGGCTGAGCTTCCGAAGAAGGCCTTTCAGACCCCTGGAGCCCGAGATCCAACGCCCGCCCGCCCACCCGGGCTAAGCACCAAGCTGCACCCAATTCGGTGGGGAGCCCGGGGAACATGTGCACACACATATAGCCACCCTGATTCTCGAAGATGATTACTACATGAGATGTTCTTTTTTTTTTTTTTTTTGGCCTCTGTGAAAAAGACTTACACCTTCCACTTTCAACATTTTTTCCTCCACATTATAATGATGTTCACTCTTTTTACCAAAATATTTCTAGAGTCATTGTCAAATGCTTATTCATCCTTGAAATGATGTCTTTTTCTTAACAGCCCTAGCTTTTTGAGATGTTCCCATCACTAACTAGTTACATTCTTAGATATGTGCACAAGCAGGAATGGCCTACAGGTTAAAACAGTGTGTCTCCTCGTCATAAGGAGGTTAGAATAACCTCCTGTCCATCTGCAGCCATGCAGGGGATTTTTTACTAGCAGGTGTTTAGGATCCAAAGCCAGGGGCCTAATTAGCTGTGGGCCATTTTTAGCCCCTTTTGAGTACCTTGACTGTTTCAAAGGAAGAAGTAGGCTTTCCTGTCCCTTGGGCACCTTGTCCTGCCTGGCTGCTTCCCCAAATGGCTCCTTTCCAGTGAAAACCATGATGCAGTTGGCCAGAAAATACTTCTGTTGCTTTTGTATTTCTCTCTTAGAAGTTGTTAATTTCTTCACTAGCCTATTTCCATACTTAGGTGTAGTTCAGGAATTAACTCTAGTAGGACCTCGTGGAAGTGTAGCCAGGAGGTGCTGAGCAGCGTGTGTGGGAGTCACCAGCTGACAAGTACAAGGTTGGCCTGGCGGGGCCCAGCGCTTGAAGAAGCCTCCACCATGACCTGCCCTTGCCCTGGCTGAGTGCACCTCAGCCCAGGCCCAGGCCCCCTTGCAAATCTGGCTACTTTGTGTTCTTTTATTGGTTGTGTTCAACAGGTCGCCGGGCCTCTGTTGGTCATTGCTTTTCTTCCTTGATCTTTTGAGACAGGGTCTCACTGTATGACCCAAGCCGGCCTCGAACTTGGCAGTCTTTCTGCCTGGGCTTGCTGAGCCCTGGAGTACCCCTGTGCACCCCTGCACCTGGCCGGGCCTCAGTTTCTTGCTCCCGACACAGAGGTTGTGGGGGAGCTGATGCGCAGCTGTCTTCCACCCTCTGTGTTCCCCAGTTCCATGCACCCATGCAGACACCCCCTCCCCGCCAGGAACCAGTGCTCCTCCCCACACATCCCCTCACAGTTGCTGCCTTTGTCCACTTGCCAGCTTTCTGTGTGTGGGAGACAGGGTCCTACTGTGTAGCCAGGCTGGCCTACACTCAGTGTTAGCCCAGGCTGGCTTTGACCACTTGGCAGTCCTGCCTCAGCCTCCCGAGTGCCAGGATCACAGGTGTGCCCTGGCAGTGTCCATTTTCTTGCTGGCTGTGCTCAAGCTGCAGGACATGAGCAGTACAGAAAGACCCCCCTCCAAGTAGCCCAAAGAGGTCCCTGAACCCCAGCGCTGAGATGCCAGAGACCTGGGGACTGGGACTGGACCCCGCGGGAAATAGGCTCCAAAACACACATCACTGCTTCAGGGAGAGAACTGGCGTGAGGGGGTTATAACTTATTCATGACTGTGGTCTGAAATAGCTCCTTATAACTCACTCATGGCTACCCCCTGAGTACTGGGGTGCTGTTCTCAGAGTCTAAAATTATTACCCTATCTCCACACCAGCTTTGTGTTCAGCTAAGCCAGGCCTGCTTTGGGCAGTCCAGGAGCAGAGCAAGCTCTGTTTCTAAGTGGTGAGATGCTCTGCTGGCAAAAGTACTCCATCTCTTTTGGTCTGAAAAGTGTACGTGCTTTAAAGTCCTGCTTCTGGCTTGTCCCGAAATGGTGGGATGAAGTCACGTCCCAGTCGATGCTGCCGCAGTGCCCTTTGATTAAGGTGACGTCGTTCTACTTTAGCTCTCTACTCAGCACCATTATGAGGCAGGATAAAATTATCTGAAGCATATACGTAAGCGTGAGTTGAGATGCAAGGGAAGCATGGACAGCAGCAAGGGCTGGGTGTGGCCCCCGCAGAGGGGCCAGGGTGTGCGTGCCAAGGGCCTGCGCTGGAGCGGGTAGGCAGTGCAGAGTGAGAGGACAGCATGGAGCCCACAGAGGAGCCCTGGGGGGAGGCTCGGGGGCCAGGTGGGGCGGTAGAGATGAGAGGGATGCGTTGTATGGGAGCTGCCCTCACAGGATCGCGTTTGCCAGCTGGGAGTGTGTGCACGGGAGGTGCTGAGGAAGGGGCTGTCCTGAGAGGAGGAAAGATGGGGGCTCAGTTCCTGCTGCCCAGTACTGGAATGGTTTCCGGCAGCACATGGCCCAGCTGAGAGCTGCTTTTCACCCAGGGCAGCCTAACCCTGGCTCAACTGTAGAGAAGGGGGTGCGTCACTGCCCTGGCCCTGGCGCTGGCCACCTGCCGGGGTCGAGGACCAGGACTCCGTGCGGTGCGAGAGGCGCACTCTTCCTGCACTGGCCTTGCTCTGCAGAAGCATTGTGAGGCCCGCAGCCCCACCTTCTCTGGCGTCCTGGAGGACTCTGGCAGGCAGGACCAAGGGTGAGCCCAGGGGAATCGTGGCCCAGAAGCACGGCACTTCCTCTGGGGCCAAGATGCATCGCTTCTCCTTTCTCCTGCCATTGCAGAATCTAGATCTGTGTGGAGGTGCAGTGAGGGCAGCATCGGTACCTCTGGCTGAGAACAGCTCAGCCCCACCATGGCCCTGCCACTACGGCCTGGTTTCTGGTTTCTGTCTTGGTGGGGTGTTTGCCTGCTCCCTCAGAGGAAGACTGGCTAGGGGTGAGCTCAGTGAGGGAAAAGCACTCTTGCTGTCTGGGGAAAGATGGCCCTACGAGAAGTCATCAGGCCTGCACTCCCCTCCCATTCATGCCCAGAGACAGGGCAGACGGAGCACAGCCTTGCATGCAGGTGCGTGTCAGCCTGACAGCAGCAGCTCTGTCCTCACACTGCAGGAGCAGGCCTCGAGTGGGGCGGAGTCCTTTGCCTCTGAGCCCCCAGGAGGGGCGAGTCCTCTCCGGAAGTGGTGGCATGGTTCCTTCAGGGACGGATGCTGTCTGCAGAGTATAGAACAGGTACCTTCTCAAGTCTTATTCTTCAAAATATAGAGACTGAACAGTAAATTAGCAGACATTTAATGCCTGGTGCATTTCCCTGCGCAAGGGCTGAGGTGCAGCTCAGTGGCAGCACTGGTCTAGTCTGCACGAGGCCCCAAATTCCAACAGCGCCAGCCACACAGAACAACACGTATGGCTTCCTCTTCAAACCACAAAGCCTGGGGAGTGAGGCAGCGGGACTGTGGGCCTGAGCCATGGAGATAGCAGTCACTTGGAAGCCTGTCACCTGCCACCAAGCAGGTGAGGACATGAGGACCAGGGTCCCCCTCATGCTACCCTAGCGCACGAAGCTACAGAATTGCTGATGGTCACCAGCAGCGCCTAGGGACAAAAATGAGAAACTGGAGGCAAAGCCCTGCGATTCAAAGAGCCCACAACGTGTAGCAGGGCCCTCAACACAGAAAGCGCAGTTTCGCAAGACACGTTCTCGATGCCTGCACTCCGTTCCTGGGTGACGCCCAGCAGGGTAGGGTGGCCGCCTGTGCCCGCCAGCTCCATCGCCCAGGTGGCAGGCGCCTGCACAGCAGGGCTGCGTGCTCCTTGCCGCCCCTTCTCGCCTGTGGCTCCTCGAGCGCGGTGACCCTGAACCGAGCCTCTCAGGCCTGCTCGTCCCTTTCTCCCATTACCCACATCCCTTGCTGTGTCCATGGCCTACACGGTGCCCCCAAGTCTTACAGCTCTCCATGTGTAGAAGGCTAGGTCGTCTCTGGTGTCAGTGCCTCAGGATTAAAGCCACAGACGTCACGATCTGCTAACCTGTGGGAAGTGCTCTGCTTCCAGGAAGCCCGCTGCCCCAAGCTGATGAGCACTGGAAGTTCAGCTCCTTTCCTCAGGCCCAGGCATACCCTCCACATAGCCGAACCCCATCCTGACCCGTCAGGGCTGGACAAGAGCGACGCTTCAGAAGTGTGGGGTGGCTTGTTTCTAAGCCAGACAGGCCAAGAGACAACTAAGTAGGAGTGGCTCTGGGGTCCCACCCTCACCCTCGGTGCCTGCTTCCCATGTGCCTGGAGCTGCTCCCCGTGTACCAGGCACTGTGCCTGCCTCCTGTGCGCCCCGTGCTGGGCCTGCAGTCAGTACAGGGAGGGGTGGACTCGTCCCACAGATCGTCTCCACCACCCCTGGCTGTGGACAGGGCTGTGACGCTAGGCCGTGGCGCGTAACCTCACCAGGCTCTGGGGCAAGCCAGCTCAGATGAGAGGATCCTGGGATCGGCAGGCAGGAGAGGAGCTGAGCAGGTGTTCTGGGCAGACGAGATGCCCCTGAAGGCCCTGAGGAAGGGAGCAGGGCTGGCTGGACACAGGAAAGGCCACAGTGTGGGGGCAGTGGAGCAGGCGCAGGCTGGAGAACACCACCATTCTCAGAGCAGTGGGCCCCTTGGCAGGTTTACATAAAAATCCCTCTGGCTGTTGTGCAGGGGGGTGGAAGGGAGGAGGTGAGAGGACAGGCAGGCTTCTCCGCCGTGGGCAGGTATGAGGTACAGGCGTGTGGGACCAGGCCAGAGTGAATGGATTTGAAGGCCAGCTGCAGAGGGAATCACCAAGGTGGGCCTATGCCAGGCCAGGCGCTGGGCAGGCGGTGCCAGGACTGAGTGAGGATAGGGATCCCTCACAGCCAACACTGCCCCTGCTCAGCAGTCACCCCTACAGCAATAGCCATGTGGCACATGCCAAGGGAAAAGCTGGGCTCTCCTGCAGCAGCTGCTGCTGCTGTTCCTGCCAGTCAGGTGCCAACCAGAGGAGCCATGCAGCCCAGGCACCAGGTCCTCTGCTTGGGCTTGGTGCTTCCTTGTCCAGGGCCCCTCAGTGGAACGGGCCGCACCTGCCCACATGGCGTAAGTGGAGTAGGTGGGGCACTAAGGCACTTCACCACCCGAGCTTGGTTTTGCCGGGGTCACGAGAGGAACTTGAGCCCAAGGCCTCTCCTCCCACCTCCCCTGACCCTTGTGATCAGGGGCAGTGACCAGGGTCTGTGCTTCCCACAGGTCCCCTGGATGTCAGCATGGCCACCACAAACCTGGAGAACCAGCTGCACAGCGCACAGAAGAACCTCCTGTTCCTGCAGCGGGAGCACGCCAGCACGCTCAAGGGGCTGCACGCTGAGATCAGGCGGCTGCAGCAGCACTGCACGGGTGCGGGCAGCCGGGACCAGCGGCAGGGCCAGGCAGCCGCAGTGGGCACACCGCATCCCTCCAAGAGGCTGAGGCAGAAAGATGAACATTCAGCTCAGCCTGGGCAATTCAGCGACTGAACAAGGCCCTGTCTCACACTTTACAAAGAACTAGGGATGCAGCTCAGTGTGGACACCCTGGCTCAGGCCCGGCCTGTTGGTGGGAGGCGTTGGGTGGGGAAGGGCACCGGTCCCACCCGACCCAGCAGTGCGTGCTCGGTGGCCCTTCTCCTGCTGGGCAGCTGCATTGCTGAGCCTGGGCTCCATCCTGCCCACTCAGAGCTGAGTAAGATTCTGATATACTGTAATGACGTGTGTAATTTCCTTTTTAGATTTAACATATGAGCTGACACTCAAGAGTTCTGAACATCCAGGTAAGACTTCTCCCCAGGAGCCAAGGGGACATGGTTTTCTCTTAGGAAGCACAGTGGTGCTGTCCTTGTCCCTGCTGTGCTGCTGGGAGAAACCATGTGCTGTCCGGGCAGGAGGAGAGGGAGCAGGGCCTGTGGTGTCCACGGGTGGGCCTGAGCAGCTGTCGCCCTTTCAGTGGCACATTTTAGATGGTCTGTTACATGCTCATCTGGACTCTGGCGTTTTTCTACGCTTAATGCACGTCCCTCTGCAGTCAAGAGATAAACGTGATGTGACTCTACCCGGGAAGGAGGACCCAGTGCCCCAGAGCCGGGGGGGTGGGGGGGGCAGAACCGGCCGCTCAGTCCTGCCAGGGTCACCGACTGGCCTCCTGGGGGGCCTTGGCAACCGCAAGAGCTTTGACCGCAGGGCCTCTGAGCCGAGGAGCGGAGCCAGGCTTTCCCCGGAGCCATCGTGTGGGTCCCAGACAGCCCCCTGCAGCAAGCCTGCTGCTGCCCCGCTGGGCACTGCAGTGGCCTTAGAGCTACACCTTTTGGCTCTGGCCCTCTCTTACCCCTTGCAGGACATGTTGGGGCTTTTGAGATCTTTGTGGTTTTGGTTTTGGCCAAACCCTGAAAGGCCCTGCAGGGGAGTGCAGCCCCCATCCCTCCCGGGAGGCTGGTACGAGCCCCTCGCCCTGTGCTCCCAGCCCTCTGCTCATGCACCCCGACCCCGCCTGCGCACCCCGCAGGCGACGCGTCTTCCAGGAGTGCAGAGCTGAAGAGGCGCTGTGAGGAGCTGGAGGCCCAGCTGCGAGCCAAGGAGGACGAGAACAGCGAGCTGCAGCGCGAGCTGGAGCAGAAGAACGCCGTCATCACCGTGCTGGAGAACGCTGTCCGCGAGCGTGAGAAGCGCTACCTGGAGGAGCTGAAGGTGAAGAGCCACAAGCTGAGCCTGCTGTCGGGCGAGCTGGAGCAGCGCGCCAGCACCGTGGCCTACCTCACCGCGCAGCTGCACGCCGCCAAGAAGAAGCTGCTCGGCTCCGGCGGCACCTCCGAGGCCAGCCCCGCCGGCAGCCCCGCGCTGGCCAGCTACAAGCCGGCGCCCCCCAAGGACAAGCTGCCCGAGACACCGCGCCGCCGCATGAAGAAGAGCCTCTCAGCCCCACTGCACCCCGAGTTTGAGGAGGTCTACAGGTTTGGGGCCGAGAGCCGCAAGCTGCTCCTGCGTGAGCCAGTGGACGCCATGCCCGACCCCACCCCGTTCCTGCTGGCCCGTGAAGCGGCCGAGGTCCCGCTCCTCAAGGAGCGGCCACTCGTCATCCCGCCCATTGCCTCGGACCGCGGCGCCGGCGGGCAGAACAGCCCAGCCCGGGAGAAGCCACACAAGGCCCACGTCGGTGTGGCCCATCGCATCCGCCACGCCAGCCCACCGCAGGCGCCGCCCGAGGTGGAGACGCTGGTGGTGGACCAGGTGAACGGGGGCAAGGTGGCACGGAAGCACTCAGGGACGGACAGAACTGTGTGACGCCGCCGGCCACGCCCAGCTGTCCACGCACTGTGACCCACGCAGGAACCTCGCCCACACCTCATTCCCATGCATGCCAAATTGTTTTCAGACCTGCCCACCGACACCCCACTCCTCTCATCCCTCCTGATACCAAAATGCAATCACGTCCCCACTGCAAAACATGTATTTATGACACTGAGGCCAAACACTCGCGCACCGATCGCTTGCTTCCTTCGCACCGTGCGAGCTCAGTGCGTGCTCGGCCAGAGTGCACCGCCACGTGACGTTCTGACGCGCGTTGCCTCGACGTCCTCCCCATTCTAGGGCAGCCTGCTTGGAGCACCCCACTCCTCCCCGCAGACCCCTCCCAGGGGGCACCATCACCGAGCGTGTGTCTAAATAAGATGGCGCTGCTCCGCTCAGCACCACAGCCTGAATGTGTCTTCATAGTTTTTTGTTAGTTTCATCCAAAATGTTCAAGATCCCAACAAACTTTATTTTCTAAACCTGCCTTCCTTCTCTTGTGTGTCTTATTAACCTCGAGGGAGGATGGGAGGCGGCCAGGGAGGGAGAGGAGAAGCAGCCCAGGCGCTCCGCCTGGCAGCCCCTGCACAACCTGGAGGTACAGGTCTGCCCAGCCCCCCAGAACCCGGGTCACTGGGCAGGGAGCTCGGGTAGAAGCCCACCCAGCTCGTCAGCCTCGGCCCACAGTCGGCACCGAGGCCGAGCCAGAGTTCAGAGGGGGGAGCAGCTGCGGGGCCCTGGCTGCCTCTGCCCAGTGTCGTGGCATGGTGGGCTAGCCCTGGTGCTGCCCTCTGCCCGCCTCTGCCTTCTAAGCAGGCAGCTCCAGTGGCCCAGGGGCACCCTGGCAGCACGAGCTGGCACTTCTGCCAACCAGGCACTCGAACAGCTTGTCTTCAAACATACTTTATTTACTTTTGAACACAAAATCCTTTAAAAGTTTTTAAAACAACCATTTGGCTTCATTTAATGCAAGGGGAGTTAAAGGACCAACTTCCAGTGAAAGAGAGGCTGGTGTAGCTCGAAGGCCCCCGGGGCACAGTTGCATCCGCCCGGGCCCCAGCACTGCTGCTTGCAGTTTCTTTGCCAATCAGGTCAGTCAGAATTCAGGGTGAGGCACACGCCCTGGAGCACCCAGTGAGAGATGTGCTTGGTGGTGAAGAGGTCGGCCTCGAAGACCAAGCCAATCCCCATGGCATTCCTGCGCAGGGACGTGGTGTAGACAGGCGTCCGGAAGGTGTTCTGTAAGGGAGGGCAGGGAGCCCGAGTGGTAGGCTGGCAGGCGTCAGAGCCCCTGCGGGTGGCCTCTGCTGGGGCGCCCCGCCCACCTCGTGGAGACCAGGCTCCACCACCATGTGCTGGGCCAACATGGGTCCTGGGCAAGGCCCGATGGAGGGCACCGCCATCCACACCATACCGCAGCCAGCCTCAATCAAGGTCCTTGGGTCCCTGAGCAAGGAGGGCATGTCCCTGTAGAAGCCGAAGCCACAGGTTGTGGCTGGAGCCCCACGCAAGGCGGACAGCATGTAGGCATCTCCCAGGCAGAGCCTAAAGGGCTCCCAGCCGGGAGCTGAGGGCTGTGACCCAGAAGTGTGTAGGTGGAAAGGACCTCGTCGGCCCCAGGCAGGTACAGCAGGCTCCGGCCGGGAAGGAGGCCTCACCTGTAGCTTCAGGCGGTGGGCTTCGATGGGGATGATCTTCAGGATGGGCAGGTCCACCACCAGCACCTTGGGCTTGCTCTTGACCAGACAGCCTCTCTCGATGTCCCAGTCAGCACCTTCCAGGTACAGTCCTGAGACAAAGCACCCTGGAGAGGCAGGAGAGGCTGGGCAGGTGTGGAGCGAGTAGACGGGTACCCAGAACAGGCTCCCCACTTCCCGTGCGGCAGGCCTCCCTCCCTGAGCCCGCCCGCCTCTCCCCAGAGCCTGGCATGGAGCCTTAGCCTCACCCTGGGTGCTTGGGCTCCAAGCACCAAGGTCGGAGCTGGCACACACGAGAGCCAGAGTGCAGAAGCAGGGCGACAGGGCCTTGTGGGCATGGAATCTGCGGAGGAGGCCCTGCCGGCTCTCAGAGGGGAGGGCAGTCCTCTGGCCAGAAGCGTGGCAGCGGCACCTCTGAGCAGCCTCAAGCCCTCGCCACATACGCCCTCCCCTTCAGCTGTCACAAAGGCCTCTACCTCTTGAGGTTAAGGGTCCTCTGACTGAGGCTGCATGGGCCCTGGGGAACTGGTCCACAGCTGTCATGTGCTGAGCAGTAACCAATGTCATAGGGACCCAAAGTCGTCAAGTAATTCAGCACTGCTAAAGCCCTGGCCACCCGTGCCCTGAAGGGCCCCCTAGTGGCCCACATTCCACAAACAAGCAGAGAGACACTGTCTATCCAGGTCCCCTGAACCTCAACCCCAGGTCTCCAGGGAAAGAGGCAGCGCGCACACAGCAGTGTCGGCCACGGTCTGACCTTAACTTGTCCCCCTGGCCATTCTGTGCTGTCCCTTTGAGCAGGGGGCTGGCTCCGGGGAGAGATCCCACCCAAGAGGTGAGGAGCCTTAGGAGCTGATGGTACCTTGTCCCGCCCGCTCGTTCACTTCATCTGCATCTTGGAACTTGGTCACCTGCGTGAACAAGGTGGACCTGTCCAGCGGCCAGCCATTCTTCCGGCAGGTGGCCTGCACTAGCGCAGTGAGGTAGGATTCTGGGATGTGCAGCCCCGAGAGCCACATGACACTGGGCTCGCTCTCAGTGACCTGCATGAAACAGTTCATGGTAAAGGATGGGTGTCACCTTGGGGGCAAGAGGATGGAGCCATCATGACCCTCAAATCCAGACAGAGCAAAGATTTAAAGACAAAACCACAGAAATGCCAATCAAATCTCCAATCAGTGATTTCTTCATCTTCCCGTGGGGAGTACAAGGCCAGGAGCCACAAAAGAGACACATTCAGCAATGTAAAAAACACAGAACCTTTGTATGAGTAAAAACACCATGTGCAAAGGCAAAAGACGTAGGACAGGAGCTATACAGTGATACCTTGGTTCATGCACTCAATTCTTTCCATGATTCTGGTCACAAGCAGCATGGGTCACAAACCAGGTCAAATTCAGTGGTTAGGTTCAATGTCGACCTTATGGGGAAATTCGATTCAGTTCCCGTCCAGTTTGGTTTCCAGCCAGAACCATGGAAAGGATTCAGTTCATGAATTGACATTCCACTGCATGTGCAGCACCTCAGTCACGGAGCTACATCTCAGCCATAAAAAGCTCTTTAAAAAAAAAAAAAAAAAAATCAAGAGGGGCTGGTGAGCTAGCTCAGTGGACCAAGCACCTGCTTAGGCAAGCGCAGGGACTGGGGTTCGATCCCAGCACCACGTGCTGCACCGGCCCCGCCCAGGCACACTGAGCCAGTGACCAAGTCTGATAGCTCAGTGGCATAATCACCTTCCTGGAAAGTACAAAGTCCGGAGTTCAGGGTCCAGGGTATAGCTCAGCAGCACAGCACCTGCCTGGCAAGTGTGAGGACGTGAGTTCAATCCCCCATACAAAAAAAAAAAAAAAAAAAAATCAAGGGGAACGATGGTACTCTCAATAAAAATGAAACCAAGACATAAGTAGACATTTCAGAAAAAAAAAACTCAAAATGTCTATAAGCACATGAAATATACTCAGCTTCAGCACAGTTGAAAAACTACAACAAAAAAGTGTTTTCCACCTATCAGAGAATAAGTCTTCTAAAATATGAGGACTACACATGGATGCCGAGAGGCAGGCAACAGTCCGCTCAGGGATCTTGGTTTCCTGGGATAAGACTGAAAATTTGGAAGCACACACTTCCGCCATTGTCCTTTACCCAAGGAACACGCTCCTGCACATGCACAGATGTGCAGTGTCACAGTGACCACTTGAGTGTGCCCCATAAGAGGGGACAAAATATGGGAAGAGGGAACTCTCCAGAAGGACCGACGCAGGCCCATGGGAGAGAGTCGCCCCCAGGTTAGAGTGCAGACAGTGTGCTGCAAAGGCCCAGAATAAGAGGAGAGGAACACAAGAAGCAGAGGTGCGTGTGGGATCCATGGGTGCTTCCTGACCCCCACAGCCAGCTCCCGTCACTCACCCACAATGTGTACTGGCTGAACCGCCGCAGCAAGTAGACCATCCAGTTTCCCAGGGACTTCAAGGTGTCCGGGGCCAGCTTTCTCCAGATGTTAGGGATCAGCCCCAGGAAGAGAGACCTGGCTACATCATCCAGCTCGCTGCTCATGCCAACTTCCCCAGCCAAGGCCTATTTGCAGGAGGGAAGGCAATCAGGCCCCCGAGCCCTCAGCCAGGCACCGATGCAGACGGCTCCACACCCAGGACTGTGCTCACCCTCTGCAGCTCGGCCAGCGACTTGCTCATGCGCACCACGAGCTTGTTGAAACGCCCCAGCTCCTGCAGTAGCACCACAGAGGTGGGCGAAAGGCCCACGCCCAAGTGCTTCCGGACCTGGTCCAAGTCAAAGACCTTGGGCATCTTGTTTTCTATGTCCTTGGCCACTTGGCCAATGTAATCGTCACGGCTGATTCCACTGCTCGATTCCCCTAAAGCCAGAACACGTTGAGGAGAAGCAAGGCTTGAGGGCGGACCACCAGCACCCACGCCGGTCCCTCCCCCACCGAGCCCACAGCTGTGCGGACCCCTCCCCACTGAGCCCACAGCTGTGCGGACCCCTCCCCACCGAGCCCACAGCTGTGC